CAACTCGGCTGCTGGACCAGAACTCTAGCGAATGGGATGGGGGATCAGATCTAACGCAACAGGTGCTGCTTGGAACAAGGTCTGATCCCACAAATCCCACCAATTATATTTGGAGTTCGCATTGGAAATTGAAGCTTCATTTCGGGGAGGAAGAATTCGGGTTGTAGCGCGTGCACGACCGAAATTCAAGCATCGTCCTGTCCTAATGACTCGCATAACACCTCACGAGGGTCGGAGAGTTAATTGACCGAATTGTACGTGCCAGACGTACACCAGTCGAGAACAACAGCTCGAACAGCCATTCCATCCGCAGTACTAATAGCTCGTCTCAATATTTCCATAAAACCGTAAATGAGATGGGATTTTAACACGCTTGCTCAAAGGTCAATGTTTACTGGTCTTGTCTACAAAAAGTCTATGGCTCAGTGCGGCATAGGATGTTTCTGGAAATGGAGCCCGCAAGTGTCTGCTGAAGATCTTTTATGTCTATCGCGTGCAATTTTGTGGCCGCAACTCACTCTCTTTCGAGACCGGAATAGGCCGACGCAATCAACATAAAATTATCGCGTGTCGTAAGTGCACGTGCATAATGCTGGTGCGACATGCCGCCTCTTGATAAGCCGCTAATCGAAGTTATTCATCCAGGCAACATCAATACTGGAACGACACGGCAAATCGTATTTTACGTCCGACAAATCGCGCAATTTAATTCCGTAACGCAATCAGGCAGCTAATCGCCTCACTCTCCCCCTCTCCGGAAACAGACTTACCGTCACCCCCGGTTCGCGGCCCGCGGTTGCCCTCGTTTCCTGCCGACAACACGTGTCTCCTGCATGTCGATCAGCTGTGTCTGCGCGCTGCCATCCCCGGTGGCCGGCCTTTCAGATCACGTACGACCTGAGCCTGTTCGAGCCGAGCGCGCAGCAGGTGGCGTCGATCCGCGCGGCGAGGGCCGACTCCCGCTGGCGACCACAGCCGCTCACCGCTGTCAACGTGAGTGGCCGCTGACGACGCCAGCTGACCCCGATGGCTGACGACCGCCAGCTGACCCCGATGGCTGACGACCGCCAGCTGACCCCGATGGCTGACGACCGCCAGCTGACTCCGACGGCTGACGACCGCCAGCTGACTCCGACGGCTGACGACCGCCAGCTGACTCCGACGGCTGACGACCGCCAGCTGACTCCGATGGCTGACGACCGCCAGCTGACCCCGACGGCTGACGACCGCCAGCTGACTCCGACGGCTGACGACCGCCAGCTGACTCCGACGGCTGACGACCAGCAGCTGACTCCGACGGCTGACGACCGCCAGCTGACCCCGACGGCTGACGACCGCCAGCTGACTCCGACGGCTGACGACCGCCATCTGACTCGACGGCTGACGACCGCCAGCTGACCCCGACGGCTGACGACCACCAGCTGACCCCGACGGCTGACGACCGCCAGCTGACCCCGACGGCTGACGGCTGGCGACTGACGATACGATAGCACAATGGCTCGTAAAGCCATCCTAGTGAAAAATGAGTGTTGGATGCGTTCTACCTGCTTCATGTCACCTTGGTGCATCTACCCATTTGTGTAACTAAGGTGATCATCTTTTCAGCCCATACATAACGTTCTAGAACCTCAACTGATTTCGCAGGATCGGGTCACACGGGCGTTTGTTTA